AGCTTTTGACCGGGTGCACAACAGTCTGTTAAAAATGATGCCGGTGATAGGGATCCCAGGATATCCCAGGATGTCCCAGCAATAGGGAGTCCTTTGGCCTATGGCAACTTAGAGAATTGGGCTAGCATTGGATGAAAAGAGTGCTATGGGGGAGTGTTACCTAGTTAATAAGGTGAATTTGAGTTGATAGCATGAGAAAACTTTCTAGGTCTGTGGAGAGAAATTCTCCAGGAAACTTGAGAAAAATGACACTTAGGAACGTAGGAACTGAAGTAGACCATTCAGCTCATCAAGCCTACCCCACTATTGATTGTGAGCATGGTTGATTGAACACTTTAATGCCTTTTACCTAAACTACTCTCATAACCCTGTATGCCACTGATAATCAGAAATCACTACTATAAACTTACTTAGAGACAGAGATTCATTTGTACGTTCCAATAAGATCAACTCTCACTCTTTGAAACTCTAAACAAGGTAGACCTAGTTGGCCCATATTTCTTCACAGTACAGTGCTACCATCTAGGAACAAGTTTGGTGAGCTTTCATTGTAGTCACTCAATGAAAATAATAACTTTCCTGAGATAAGGAAACCAAAACTGTGCACTGTATTCCAGGTGTAGCCTAACCAAGCTCCTATATGATGGCAGCAAGACTTCACTTCCGTACTCACATCCTCTTATTAGCCTTCCTAATAGCTTGCTGCAACTGCGTGTTATTGACAAGGACACCCAGATCGCTTTGTACATTTACATTTTCCAATCTCTTACCAGTTAAGAAATAGTCTGCACATCTGTTTCTCCCACCAAAGTGAAAAACCTCACATTCTTCCACATTATATTCCATCTACCATATTCTTGCCTGCTCACTTAACCCATCCAAATCCACTTGAAACTGGTTTAAATCTTCCTCACAACAGACAATCCTACTAAGCTTTGTATCATCCAGAAATTTGGGAATATTACATTTGGTCCTCACCTTCAAATTATTGATCCATAATGTGAACAGCTGAGGCTCAACTGTTGATCCTTGTGGTACCCCACTAGTTACAACCTGCCAATGTGAGAATGACCCACTTATTCCTATTCTCTGCTCTCCGCCTGTTAGTCAATCATTCATCAGTGCATATTGCCTTCTACGCCATGTGCTTTAATCTTTTTAATCAGCCTCCTGTTGGGGGACTTTGTCAAAAGACTTCAGAAAATCAAAGTATACTATGCCTATCAGCCCTCCTTTATTCATTTTGTTCGAAACATCTTCAAAAAAATACTCCAACGTTTGTCAAACATGATTTTCTATTTGCAAATCCATGCTGGCAATGCTCAGTTAGATCATTATTACCAATTTTTTAAATTTATCCCATCCTTTATAGTAGAATCTAACATTTACCCTACCACTAATGTAAGACTAACAGGTCTTGTTTTCTATTTGCTTTCTCTTTTGCTCCTTTTTATAAATATAGGGATGATTATATTACATTCCAATCTGGAAGACTCATTCCGGAATCTATAGAATTTTGATGATAATCATCAATGCATTGGCTATTTCTATAGCAACTGGTAAAGAGTTTTGCAAAGATCGAGTCTTCAAACCTGAGTAGAAAGTAATAAAGCAAATTTATTCAAGCTCCTTGAACATATGCAGGAGGTGTCTCTAAGCCTAGCTCAGCGACATTCTATCATTTACGGCTCAAAACAGCATGGTTATATATTTTCATGTCACGATGATTACATGCCACATTGGTATAAATTATGCACCATGTCAATTATTTGCTTGTCAGTTCCCAGTTTACGTTTTCACTAGACCATCTGTTTCCTTGTTCCCATACAAGGCAAATCTGATTTCACTGTTTGTCTTCCTCATACTGTATTCCTATACACAGCTGACTGTATTGTGCTATGCCAATGATCCGTGGTCTAGGGGTCACGTAGCATGACAATTTTGCCCAACACAGATAACAACTGCTCCTTCAGTAACTGCTGATTATTCCCTTTCTATGTTGCTATGGTTAAATTGCCAATGTTGCACTAACTATTTCCTTCAATGAATGCATTTTGCCCTTAACCCTACTCTCTACTGCCCATCCAAGCTTATTTTCTACAGTGTTCATGTTTTACAGTATTCCACTCCTTTCCATGTGGATTTCCCCTTTTGCTCCCCCCTACTCTCCCGACCCTTTTTCAGCCACCACTTTCAACAGTCTGGGATGTAGATTATCAATTCCTAGGGATTTATTAACTTTCAGTTCTATTAATTTCTTAAGTACAATTTTCATCCTATTGCTATTCTCCTTCAACTCTTTAATCTTCCAAGACAGTTGGATTTCTAGTTTTTAGAGATTTCTGATATCTTCTTCAGTGAAAACAGACACAAAGTAATTATTTAGCTTCTATGCACAGCTCTCTATTTCCCATTAAATATATTCGCCTGACACTACCTGTGATGGATCCACATTTGTTTTAGCTAAGTAATTCCTTTTTATACACCCATAGAAGCTCCTTACAACTTGTTTCCGTATCTTTTGCAAGATTGCATTCATATTCTACTCTCCCTTTTCTTATCAGTTCCCTGGTGCTACCTTGCTGCATTCTAAAAGCCTCCTAATTGATAGAATTACTGCTGTTTCAGCCATCTTTATAGGTATCAATAGGTGAAAGAGAAATGGAGGAAGAAAATAATTGTAAAGGATGGGTTAGAATAGGACAAAATGGGTCTGCTCTGCTGAAAGCAAAGCCAGTACAACGCAAAGAAGACTTGGCTGGGGAGGGGGGTTGGTGGGAGCTTGTAATCAAAAATTCTTCATGACCAGTAGCACTTTGTCCCTCCACAGATGCTGCCTCTTCGGCTGAGTTTCTCCAGCATTTTCTCTTTTTATTTCAGATTCCCAGCATCTGCAGCATTTTGCTTTGATGTGATGAGTGGAGATCCGCAGGGGTCTGTGCTGAGGTCTCAATTTTTTTACAATTCTCATCAATGACTTGGATAACAAGAGTGAAGGCAGAGAGCGAAATTCACGAGCAATACAAAGATAGCTGGTAAAGTATGCTGTGAAGTCATCAGATATAGATTGGTTGAGAGGGTGGGCATACATCTGGCAGAGGGATTATAATGTGAATTCCTTCATTTTGATAGGAAGAATAAAAGAAAGGACATCACTTAAATAGCGAACAACTGCAGAATTCTATGATGCATAGGGACCTAGGTGTCACAAAATTTAGAATGTAGGTACATGCATGTAATCATAGCATTGTTGTGGTGCAGAAGTAGGCCGTTCAGCCCATTGTGCCTGTATCGATTCTATTCCCTAGTGCCAATTTACAGCCTTTTGTTCATATTCTTGCACACCACTTCTATCCAAATAATCATCCAATGTTCTCCTGAATGCCTCAATTGAACTTGCCTCCAGGTTATAAATTCCCCTGACATTGCCTGTGATGAACCTAATTTTGTTTTAGTTCATTGTTTCTTTTTTATATACCTATAGCAAGTTTTATAGTCCATTTTTGTGTTCTTTGCTAGACTGCTGCAATCAAGAACGTTAATGGGATATGATCCTTTATTATGAGAGAAATTGAGGGCATTACGCTTTAGCTATATAGTTCACTTATCAATACCACTCTCGAATACTGTGTGTATTTTGGCCTCCTTTTTTAAGGAAAGATGTAAATGCATCGAAAGTATATCAGAGGAGGTTCACCACATTGTTATCTGGAATGAGTGGGCTGTTGAATGGGAATAGAACGGACAGGCTGGGCTTGTTTCACAGGAGTTTAGAAGATTGAGTGTTGATTTGATTGAAATGTATAATATTCCGAATAGTTTTGGCAAGGTGGACAGGAAAAGGGTATTTCCTCTTGTGGGTGTACAGATCTAGGGGACATTACTTTAAAGTTAAGAGTTGCCTTTTTAAGATGGAGATGAGGAGAATCTTTCTCTCTGAGAGTTGTACAACTTTGGATCTCTGCCTCAGAAGGCCGTGGAGGTAGGCTCAATGAATATCTTTAAGGGAGTGTTGGATAGTTTCTTGTTAGGTAAAGGAATCAAAGGTTATTGGGGATACATGTAATGTAAACATAAACAGATCAGCCATAATTCTATTGAATGGCGGAGCAGGTTCGAAGAGTCAAATGGCCTACTTCTGCTCCTGTTTGGTAGGTTTGTATGTTCAAATCACTCTACAGCAGGTATTTTAATTCAGTTAATAAACCTGGAATATAAAGCAAGTTTCAGTAATGGTGACCATTGATTATTATAAACTCCTATCTGGTTCACTAATGCCTTTTAGAGAAGGAAGTCCAACATCTTTACTTGGTTGCCTCTGTACATGGATCTACAACAACAGCAATGTTTAATTCCGAATTACCCTCTAAAATCAGCTCAAGGCCTTTAAGGTTGGGCAACAAGCATGGGCCTTGCCAGTAATGCTCATATTGCACAAAGGAGTAAAGACATCAAAAATCAGGGAAATATAGTAGACCACATATTTTGACATTTATACTTAAAGTGGAGTGATCAGAAAGATCACTGTCTTGAGGCCACTTGCTGCAGTACTAACTGGACAACAGCAAATCAAGAAATCTCTTCACTGGAATAACCCGATGAAAAATCCATTTTCCAGTCTTCAAGCTGACATCATAAGGTATAATAACTAATTAGGATACATTAAAATTTTCATTCGTTTCCCATTCAATCCCCCTCCTAGAGACACTTTCAGCTCAATAATGTTGCATTAAGATATAGCAGCAAGTTTTCTTCAACAGAAACTTTGTACTTCCTATCCAACTCAGACCCCCAACAACTCCCTCTCAGATAGGCATGTGACGATAACTCATGCGCCTGCCCAGAGTATTTTGGTTTTGCAGACCCCAGAATTGCAGATTAAGAAGGGACATTGACAGTTGGAATGGAGGCATCCCATTGTCACTGAAAGTGGCCACTCCCCAAGACCACCAAAGACTACTATGGGTAGATAGGAGACTATGCTTAAAATAGATTAAAGCAAGGTGTGTGCTTTTTCTAAAACAAAAGGCAAGCTAAAAAAGAAATGGGAAGATTTTGCACTCTAAAAAAAATAAACTGGCTTGGATGAAAAAACATGATAGGGATAATTTGTGTTGTTAATCGTGGGAGGAAAGGGATAGGGCAAATTGTGCAATTGTGTGAAGTTGTAAATTGTCAAGCAATACGGAAATTCAAATGATTATAGCAAAGGGGCGTGTCTTGTTAGTTTTACTGTAGGGTTTGACAAAACTGCAGACTGCTGTTTGTTCACCTTTCTACATGACCGAAGCCATTTGAAGGAGGAATCTTTCCACTTTATTTGTTAAAAGTACACCAACTGTATTTATGAGGTATGGATCATTACCTGCAATAAAACGACGGTTAAAGTTTGCCAACGTCTATTTTGTATCAGGTTTTATTTAGTTACTTTCAGTCTCTGGAACATAGGAAATAGAGCAAAAGTGAACAATCTGATTGACAGGTAACTGAATTTTTATCTTACATGTTGCAGCTGCTGTTTGTGTGTGGTATGAAAGTTTAAGATTTTAAGTAAGGTAACGATCAAACTTACAATGACCGCATTTGAAGCACAACCTTTTATCAAGGTGAAAACTTCAAAAGGGGCGTAGTTCTTGGTTAATATTATGCAACTGACAGTTGGTGGCAAGCTTAGACTGCAACTTAAAGTATATAGAAAAGTTTCTGTTTTGGATTTAAGCAACATGTCTTAAAGTAACTGCATTTAACAGTGTGGAAGCACACTGCAAAATGTAATCACTTCACAATTTGGCTCAGTGATATCTTCAATAATCTGTGTGAGAAAAAAAAATTAGCTCCATACAGTCTTACAATCAATTTGTATTTTTATTCAGGTGCTGATTGAAATTTTCTTTATCTGACTGCCGATTGAGTGGCTGCTTTGAAAGAAAAAGAATTGCTAAATAGCTCTTGTTAATGTAAAAATGGTGACTGTCTCAGGTTGTTATTGAGACCCACCCGATTAATACAGTCTGTTACAATCAGGTCCAACAGGTTTGTAGAAACTTGCTTGCTATGCTTCTGCATGGATTCATATAAAACATGCATTTATAAATTATGACAGTTACTACTGCTATAGCAAGCACATTCTTTATAAATGTACCTCATATTTAAAATTTAAATTTTTGGAAAGGTTGCTATGCTTTTTAGGTGTTTAAAAAACAAATAAGCTTGGGTATTATTCTGTTTGGTATTGTATGATAAAGATAAAGAAGGTTACTATCTCCTGTAAAATAGCAGATGGAAGAGTTTGTACAAACATTGAACACAAAGCTACTCTGTGTCTGGATAATATCGCAATATAATTTCCATGCTACAGGTTATTTAGAATGGTTTAGTTTCTATGCTTTTGATCGCTGTTTTTAAGTACTTTTCAAAAAAGTCCTGCGTTTAAACATTAAGCAAATTTTCAGGAATTTGTGTGGTTCCATTTGGAATTGTGTAAAACTTTGTCAATTGCGTACAAAAATATGATTGATTTTATGAAAACGAAATAAAGTATGGCCTACTTTAGCAATGCATAGGCCTCTGAAATAGTGCAGGTGGAGGTGACATAATCTTTGTTTTTTTATGGACTGAGTGCAGAGCTGCTACAGTCAGCGAAAAGGCAATGAAAAAGGCAGAAACTTTAGTTTGAAAGAACACAATTTACCCTTCTCGATACAAGCAAATTGTCAATGAAACTGTGTGCTTTAAATCCATAAATTCTAGCCATTTCATATGTCAATTTGCAAAGAGGGAAAAGCAGGCTTCCTCTCAGAGCAGATTTAAAAATGGAACTTCAGTCCCGCCCAAAGAAACCAACATGAGGCTATCCTCATAATATATCACTTTGTAGTAATTAAAGGAGCAGTATTCGTGATGATTGAGAAGTAAAGTCTCCAAACTGTCACAGCTATCTGGGAAATCATGTGTATCAAAAGTCTAACGAAAAGGGAAAACTAATTGTAGAAATTAAAAGATAAAAATAAAACAGGTTGTGCATTATTTATTTTCCAAAATTGAACTTCCAAAAAATGCGCACTCATGTGTTATGCTTTAACTCTGATAATGTAAAAATATTCAGATGTGAATTACTTTTGTTAACATGTGTATACTTTTGTGTATATCTCACTGCGACCATGTTTATGCAGACCTAATTGAAAAATGAAGTCATTGGGCAATATTCCTATCTTCCTCTGTCTGGTGTATGCAGGAATCTGTTATGTCATTGTTGAAGAGGAAAAAGACTATTTGGTTTTGCAGCCCTGCCAGTAGATCCTGTTCACCTATGGCATTACTACCAGTGCTGTGTCCTGTTGCGTAAATGTATCTTGAACAGTGCTGTGGAATCCATACCACAAAAGTGAATTCTTGCTGTCTGCTTTCCTTGGCTGTGATGGCATAGCTGAAAGTTACAAGGCAGATACTTTAACAATGTCATAACAAACAAAAGTGAAAGAAGGTCAAGTAGTTTACAGAATGTGGTAGTTCCTTGAAATAGGGTTAGCAACGTTTAGCACAATGCTAGTTGTTTAGAATATCTGATATCAGTGTTAAGTGTAATATACCAGTGTTTTAATTGACTGTTATTGATGGTAAACCACACATTGTAGATAACATATAAATGAAATTGTGGAGTTGATGGAAATGTGAGACATGAAGGTACATTGGTCTATCAGGTCAGTTGACAACCATTTACGGGAGCTAACTTGTACACTAACTCTCAAATATGGCAGGATTGAAATGTGTGTACATATTTTACTGAAATGTATAAGGTTCTGAGGGGACTTGATAGGGTGGAAACCGGGTGGATATTTCCCCTTGTGAGGCAATTAGAACTAGGGAACACAGTTGAAGAGAACTGCTTTTTAGGGAAAAAAATGAGAATAATTGTTTTTCTATTAAATGGTTGTTGGCCTGTGGAATTTCCTTCTGTGGAGAGCAGTGGAGGCTGGCCAATGTATTTTTTCAAAACAGAGTTAGATTTCTGATAGAAACCAAGGGTTATGATAGGCGGACAGCACAGTACTGTTGCGGCTACAACCAAATAATACCAAAGCATGCTTGAAGGACCAAATAGCCTTGTTCTGCTCATAAGTCTACGTTCCATTATCCACTACATTGGGAAAGTGCAAAAAGTGACATACTTTATCTATAGCTTAAGCAAGCCTTTTGCACATCTTGAGATTTTGTCTCCAGAGTCAGTTTACCATGAAGCAGCCAATGGTTGTAGGTAGCATCAGTGGCTGGGGAAAAATCCATTCAAATCACTTGCCAGTCAAGAAAACGTGAGTTGATCGTAGAGCCTCTCCCAATCGCAGGTCAAGGCATCCTCTACCAACTTCAAAAAGTGCCCCTGTGATTTCACGGATCCCTGTCTGCAGCCTAAACTTGATTCTGGGCATGAGTCCCAGGCCAAAACCTCAGACCCATTCACCTGAAGCCCACGAGCAGTAGCCTGATATTGTCTTACTGTCTTCCTCCAAGGTTGCTTTTGTTCTAATATAAAGGTCTGAACCTCAAAAATTACGGAAGCTAAGGCTTCACCATTCAGGCATCAAAAATACTCCTTGTGTCAAACATGTGGGCAAAAATTGGAACACCCACATTTCTGGGCCTTGACTCTTTTCCATCTCTTGCTTATGTCCCTTTACTTATACGTGACCTGCATAATGGTCTTATTGCTCCACATTTCCATCTATTGAACCCAAATGCTCATCTTATTTAATAAAATGTGATTTAATTCTAATTTATTTCTACAATTTATTCAGATGTATGTTTGAGCCCACACCCACGTCTAAGTAGCAGAGCCTTCGCCCTCATCAAATCCTCATGCTTCACATCTCTTCTTAAATGTTGTGACTTGTTGCATCTCTGTCCATCTTCAAAAGCCTTTCATTATCTTTACCCTCTCCACTTGTAACTTTGTTTATCCTCTGAAGCACCTTCAGTACATGTTTGTTCACCTCTCAGTTGTAAAGCATCTTGTATTGGAGGAGTGATATTTAAGTTGTATATTGCTGAATTGATTTGTAGTTTAATAGTAGGGTAGATATACTTTCGTCAGCGCCTGGCTGGGAATCAGGCAGGATAATTATGTACTCTTTGCAGAACGTGCTTGATTTCCTTTCCATTTATTTCAGTGGAATGATAATCAGGTTAATTCTATAAAGAGGCTGTGATCCATCCTATCAGATGAAAATGGAAACCATCCCCAATATTTTTTCAAGCAATGAAATACAAGCCAAAAAATCCTACATGGATTTAGCATAGACTACACGTAATGTAATTGAAATTTTCCTGATGAAATATGGAAGGTTCTTTTACCATGCAATTGTTGCAGTTAACAATTTTGTTAATAATTTGTGTTCATGTTACAGATACTGAGACATCATGAAGGCATCCAATCACCAAAACTCTGATAAACTGATGTTACTTTTCTTTATAGTGGTAAGTTTTCATGCTGCATCAATTTTATTTCATAATTTATATTATTAATGAACAATTAATGATGTCTTAATTTGAGTTGAAATATACAGTTGATTGGCAGAATGTTTTCTCATTGAGTGGAAGTGAAGTTGAATAGAGTTGTTTGAATGTTCTCCAGATCTTATTAGCAAAGTGAGATTGCCAACCCCCTGTTTCTAATATCTAGTGTATGTTTCTTGCACAAATATTTACCAAATTATCGTTTGCCACACCTTCAACACTGGAAGCCAGGAATAGATTGCTTAACTGGAATTTGAATGTAGAGACAGATCTCTTTGTTCAGTTACAGTAAGGCGGCAACTGAGAAACAGTTTGCCTGAAGGAATAATTTAAAATTTCAGTAATTTAACAACTGGCAGTCGAAATATCTTATTGCACCACCAGCTACAAGTTGACACTAATTCTCTGTTAAGACTGCTTACGTCACATTTAATTGTACTTAACGAAGCAAGGGCCAATAGGCATTTTATTAAGCATTGAATTTATTGGAAGGTGGAGAGATTATTGGAAAATTTGCTCCGCATTTGAAGCTGGAAGCTTACTTACATGAGCCACCTTAAAAAACAAGTTTCAAAAGAGGTGACAAGTCTAAAAAACAATTTTACCTAGATATCTAGTATATTCAGAGACAAGTTTTTGCAAGTGGCTTTTTCACAAATTAATATCAATAATTAAGTAAAGATAAAACAATTAGTCAATGAATGACACAGGATGACAGGTATTATTAGAATGATATAGTCTTGAACCTACCAAGGAATTGACAATTTTGTATCTGTTAATGTGTGATAAGACAAGATTTATTAAAGTCTTCATTGTAATGGATCCTCTGGGCAAAATTGATCATAGCTGAAAAGTTTGCATTCTGTTTGAGAGTGAGAAATGCAAGTCCATAGCTAATACCTTAAACTTAAATAAAAGAAATTATAAGAGTATGAAGATAGAGTTGGCTAAAGTGTACTGGGAAAATAGTTTAAAAGGGAAGATCACAGAGAAGCACATGGTAGATATTTAAGGAAACATTTCTAATTCTCAAAACTATATATTACATTAAGGAAGAAAGACTCTACCTGAACCACAGGACACTGACTTAAATAGGTTAAGAATGTGAGAAGTTGGAAGAAAATGCCATAAAGATTGATAGTAGCCCAGAAGATTGGGCAAGTTTAGAATCCAGCAAAGGATATCTTAAAAGAAGAAATGAAGAGGGAGTACTTGGATATGGGAGAAAATTATCAAGAAAAAGAAACAGTCAGTAAATGCTTCTACTAACATAAAAAGAAATTGAGAGCAGCTAAACAGAGCATTGGTTCCTTAAAGGGTGAAACCGGGTAATTAATAATGAGCAATGAAGAAATAGCAGAGGTTTTGAATAAGGACTTAGTATCTGTTTTCACAGAAGAAGGTACAAAAAGGACACCAGGAATAGAGAAAATTAAGAGGCAAGAGAGATGAACTTAGAACAATTACTTGCACTAAAGAATAATATAATGGGCAAACTAATGGAAATTAAAGTGACAAACCCCTGATGGCCTACATTGTTGGATCGTAAAAGATAAGATAAAGGAAACATTAATTATAATCTTCCAATATTCCAGAGGTTCTGGGAAGGTCCCAGTGTATCAAAATGCAGCAAAATGTAAAACTGCTGTTCAAAGAAGGAAGAGACAGAATGTAAGCCAGTTAGCCTAAAGTCTGTCGTTGGGAAAATGCCAGAATGCATTCTTAAAGAGGTAGTAGCAAAACAGTTAGAAAATACAACCAGGCAATATCAACATTGTTTTGTGAAAGGAAAATTGTTCTTGACAAATTTATAAGACTCTTTGAGGATTTAACAAACAGGGAGGATAATGAGGAGGTAGATATGGAGAATGCTGGAGAAACTCTTTAGTCAGGCATCAGCTGTGGATAGGGAAACAGAGTTAGTCTTGCAAGTCTGGTATGACTGTTCTTCAGACCTCAGAAAGACAGTCGTTTTCAGGATGGCAAACTGTGACTGGTGGAGTGCCACAGGGATCAGTGTTGGGCCCTCAATTATTTGTGATCCAATGATCTGGATGATGTGACCGACTGTGTTGTATCCATGTCTTCTGATGATATGAAGCTAGGCAAGAAAGCAAGTTGTGAGGAGGATGCAAAGAACCTGCAGAGGAATAGAGGTAGATTCAATGAGTGGCCAGTAGCTGCCAGATAAATGTGGGGATGTGGGGCCTGACTTTTCATTTGGGTTTGAAAGCCCTGGGTTCCAACCCCACAACATCTGCATTGCTGGTGGGATATAGTTTTTAAAGGTAAATGGTCAAACTGAGCTGGCAGTAAGCTTGGTGCCAGTTAGTGGTACTGAGTATTATGGGGGGTAGGGGTAGCAGGAGCCTTAAAGGCAGTCAGCAGCCTTGAAATGACCGACGTTGCTGCTTTGCAGAAGAGAGAAGGCAGCACATCAAAGTCCAGCGATCTCACCATCAAGAAAGCAACCAAAGGAATAGTTGTGAGGCTTGGCACCTGATATGGAACAAAATCCTCTAGTCCTAAACATTTTCAATATAAAAATGTCTGTAATTTCTGCTTGTATTAAAAATATTGAACACTGATTTATTCGGGTTTGGTGTTTTACAAATTGAAAATTGCCTTCTAGTCCTTCCTGGCCCATAAGCAACCTCCTCATGGAGCTTAACCTGAGGGTGAGCAGATTCCATGCTCCCATCTCTTGGACTTCACTTCAAACATTGCAGCATGTGCTGCTGATGTTGGGACGTAGTCGTGCCATCTGGGAATATTATTTGCAAAGTGCATCCAATCCTCTTTTTGCCCCCACGAGCATCTGAAAATATTGAGAGAACCTAGGTAGTGCTGACCCTCCTGCCCTCACAAAGTGAAGCTATTAAATTAGCACCTTAGGCTGCAAATCTTTTTCTCATTTAATTTCAAATGGCAGCACAAACTGTAGTGGCTTCCTCAGTCAGTCAGGGGTTAAAATTGTAGTCAGGCCCCTGACATCATTGTATACCAATCCTCATACGAAAAGAGAAATACGTCCTGCTGCAGGTGGCTGCTTTAATCACCTGCTCAGAAACCTGGTTAAAATTGAAGCTCTCAGGATCTGGGTGGGACACGGTGGGTAAATCAGCTGATTAAGTTGAACTGACCACCCTCCCAATTCCTGTTGTAGATTTGAAATTTCTCCCCAAAACTCAATATTTCCACTGTTAGAGACAGTAAGAACTGCAGATGCTGGATCAGAGATAACACAGTGTGGAGCTGGAGGAGCACAGCAGGCCAGGCAGCATCAGAGGAGCAGGAAAGTAAATGTTTGGGGTCGGGACCCTTCTTCGGAAATGCGCACTGTTAAACATTTGATTTCCCTGCGTTAGTCCTGACTTGTTTCATTCCTCAAACATAATGTCAGAATTAAATCAAACAGAAACTGTGTTATTGTTCCTTTCTACTCAGTTTCAAAACTTTTCAAAATTTGAAACCTCTCCCTTGAGGACTGTTAACTCCAACTTTTATTGTAGTTATGTGAACAAGAGTTATTTATATTTGTGGTCAGTAGGTCTTTTATCAAACGCTGGATTTATTAGTAGGTAGAAGATCTGTTAGAATGTTTGCTAAAGCTTTGTTTATCTTCCACCTAATCTGACTCATCTCTCTGTTATTGTCCTGTAATTAAAAGACTATCTCTCTGAGATAACAAGGTGTAGAGCTGGATGAACACAGCAGGCCAAGCAGCATCAGTGGAGCAGGAAGGCTGACATTTTGGGCCTAGACCCTTCTTCAGAAAGGTCTTCATTTCTGAAGAAGGGTCTAGGCTGGAAACGTCAGCTTTCCTGCTCTTCTGATGCTGCTTGGCCTGCTGTGTTCATCCAGCTCTACACCTTGTTATCTCAGATTCTCCAGCATCTGCAGTTCCTACTATCTCTGAAACTATCTCTTTGACTTAGTTTCCATATCTTTACAACCTGTTTAGACTATTTTTTGTTTCAAGCATTGCATTGAGATTCCCCTCTCAGTGCCATCCTGAATTTTGCCCCCAAGCCTTGTCTTTTCATTGGATGATTGTTCTGCATGCTTCAACTACCATATTCATCTAAAAACTTGATTAAAAAATCTGCATTTTTGTAGTATTTTTCAAAGTTTCAGAATGTTCCAAAGTACTTTAGAGATAATGATGTACTTTTGTGATGTAGTAACTAGGCGAATGCAGTAGTGTGTGCGTTGTTTCTATACACTGCAGTTTGACTTGTTTTCTTCATTGCATTTTTAATTTTTCAATATTATTGAAGGTTCAACCCATTGCTCACCATCATATCTTAGCTACAAGCCCTAAATGTAGGGTGGACTTTCCGCTTTAAGATCAGTTAGTATTATAAACTCCCTTGACACCACCTGAAATGGAACCACCATTTGTCTGAGCCAATATTTCCTTTCTATGCACATGCTGAAGTTTTATCAGTCTATTTTAATGTTTTTTGTTAAATTTCATTGATATCCTATTCTCGTTTCCCTTTTCATTTCCTTGGTTGTCCTTTGCTGTGTTGCGAAAACTTCCTAATCCTCAGATTTGTTACTACTTCTGGCGACTTTATAAATTTTTTTTAATACTATGCAAATCTTAACTTCCTTTGTCAAACACTGTTAACTGATCTTTTTGAATTTTTGCTCCTCAAAGGAATGTACAGTTGCTGTAAGCCATGTAATTCTTTAAAGTCTGCCAATTGCCCATATATAATCAAGCCCTTAATGTATTCTCCCAATTCAGTTCAACCAATTTGTGCCTCATGCCTTCATAATTTCCTTTGTTCAAATTTGACATCCTTGATTCAGAGTGAACTACCTCACTTTCAAACGTAATGTAAAATTCTATCATATTGTGTCATTCATCCCTAAAGGTTCTGTTATAACATTTTCTTTTGCCATAACTTAACACCAGATCTAAAATATCCTGTTTTCCAGTCAGTTCCTCA